GCGGTTAGTTTCAAACTGATTGGACAGTTAGAGATGCTGTCCCATTTATGGATAGGACTGCCCTCATTGGTGGCTGGGGTGGTCTGCTTTTTCGTCACCAAGTGGAGTGAGGGTTGTGACTTGCTGAAACTATCTCCGGAATGCGGCTGGACAAGGACTAACATAGCAAGGTGGAGGATATACAAAATGGCGAAACCTCGGCTAAGCTTGGTTCCACAACGACCAAAAGACAAGCACAGTTTCTTCACGTGTCTCTAGGCTCCATGAGCCTCCTCCAGGTCTCCTGGCTCCATCCTGCTTCCTACCTCAGTCTCTTCTGCAGCTTCTTCTTCTCCCCCTGCTCAGCTCCACCCTCCCTTGGGTGGGGCAGGGAACCTCCCCCTTTCCTGGGGACCACCCTGTTGCACTATATGGAGTATTTCAACAAAGCCAGCTAAAAATTGCTGTTAGTTATTTTCTGCCCTGTGATTTTATGCAAAAATGGGGAAAATGGTTTAAAAGTAGATTTAGTTTGCAAACTTTTGCTATGCTGTTAAAAGTTTGGGATCAAGGTTGAAAAAAATTTGTGTTTTACATCAGTTGAACCATTTTAACATTTTTTTTTATACATTCGTTGTCTTGTTTTAGCCAATGCAGGGAACCTGGAACTTACCCCTTTCCTAGGGACCACCCTGTTACAAAAGGGAGGGAAAGTTTATTGCGCCCCGGGCGGACCTCACAGACCCAAGGTGGGGGTCAGTGGAGTAGCACACGTTGTTAGGGGGAAGCAGGGTTTTATAGGGTGAGGAGAGGTCAGGTGGGTAGTTGGGCTCCTACGGCGGGAAAAGTTTATAGGGTGCGAAAAGGTTCGTGGAGCAGGTATGTTAGGGGGAAATGATGTCCTGAGTTAATCCCATACAGGCTTTGTGGACTCCACCCCCACTCCAGACTAAAGCCATCAAGACATTGGGAAAGACAGATCCCATCACCACCAAAGGGAAGGTGGCTGGGACCTGAGGGTGGAGTTGGGCAGCCAGGTTGGATATAAAAACCAAACACGTGGGCCTTGGGGTCTCTCTGGCTCGCGATCGCTCGCCTCCTGGCTTCACCGCTCCTGGCTGGCGGTGAACTCTGAGAGCGCCATTTTGGGATTCCTGATCGGCGGATCAGGTAGGACTCATTTAAAACTCTGTCTCCCACTTTTCTCCCAGAGCTGTACATTTCCTCATTTCCCCTTCCCTTGTAAATAAACCTTTTTTTATTAACCTTTCACATGTGCCTGCAGTAGAGCATTGATAAGTCCTTTTAAGCGCACAGATGAGGACCCACAGTCAGGCACCCAGTTTTGTATCGGGGTTGCTCTACAACAGATAGAGTTTCTTTGTCTGAGACCAGACTGGTAGGGGGAGGGGGGAGGCTCATTGTCTGAGTCCTCCAGGCAGGTATCCGCATTCCTGCCCCCCAGGTGGGCTTCCGGGTAGGCTTTTGCATTGTGGCCTGCTGCATGGACCTTTCACATCAGGCTTTCCATATGATAGCAAGATGTGCTTTTTCTATTGACAGAGCCCCTACTCCAGGGAAAGGGCATGTGGTGTTAGTGGGACATGCTCAAGGACATATCTCACTGATGTGGGGTGTACCAAACCTATAATCCTCTTGTTAGGGGGAAAAGGATGTCCTAAAGCTAATTCCATACAGGCTTTGTGGACTCCACCCCCACCCCAGGCCAAAGCCAAAGACACTGGGAACTCCAAATCCCATCACCACCAAAGGGAAGGTGGCTGGGACCTGAGGATGGGGTTAAGCAGCCAAGTGAGTATAAAGACAGACACGTGGGCTTTGGGGGGGGGGCCCCCATTTTGGCTCTCCGCCAGCTAGCAGCGTCTGGCCAGCTCTGAGAGTGACTTTGGGTTTCCAGGTCGGCGGATCAGGTAGGACACATTAAAGACTTTATTTCCCTATTTTCTCCTTGAGCTGTACATTTCCCTTATTTCCTTTTCCCTTGTAAATAAACCTTTTATTAACCTTTTGTGTGTGCCTGTAGTGGAGTATTAATAAGTCCCTTTTAAGCTCGCGAGTGAGGACCCACAGCCAGGCAATCCGTTCAATCGGGGCTGCTCTATAACACTCTGGCCCTCAGATAGGCCCTGCTGGGGCCTCAGCATTGGGGAAGACAACCTGGAGAGGGCTGACATATTGACTTCACCCACCTCCAAAAAGTGGGGGGACATACCATGTTCCTGGTGTTACAGGGTAACCCCGATATAAAACAGGTTGCCTGGCTGTGGGTACTCACCCGCGCGCTTACAAGGGACTTATTAATACTCCACTACAGGCATACACAAAAGGTTAATAAAAGGTTTATTTACAAGGGAAAGGGAATTAAGGAAATGTACAACTCAGGGAGAAAATAGGGAAATAAAGTTTTTAATGCGTCCTACCCGATCCGCCGACCTGGAAACCCAAAGGCATTCTCAGAGCTGGCCGGCAGCTTTGAGCTGGCGGTGAGCCAACATGGGGGAATCCCCTCCAAAGCCCACGTGTCTGGCTTTATACCAAACCTGGCTGCTTAACCCCACCCTCAGGTCCCAGCCACCTTCACTTTGGTGGTGATGGGATTTGGAGTTCCCAGTGTCTTTGGCTTTGGCCTGGGGTGGGGGTGGAGTCCACAAAGCCTGTATGGAATTAACTTTAGGACATCCTTTTCCCCCTAACATGTGCACCTCTTGGATTCCAGATCTGAGCAAGATGCTTCCGGGGTTAAGATCCCAGCTGCTGCCGCTACTGGAACCCATACTTTTCTTCTTCCTCCTCCTTGCTTCTTTTGTCTCCCATAGGCCCCAAGCTATTAAGCTGCATATGGCCCTGCTCCCTGCCTCTCCAGCACCCTCCATCTATCAGGGCCCCTACTCCAACCTGAATGACCCTACTCAGCAGGAAGTAGCTAGAAAGATTTCGATGCCCCCCTGGGGGGGCATAAATAAGGAGGGGAGAGTGGGGGCTAGTGGTAAAGACTGATAGCCACAGAACTGGCAGGCATGAGCTGGCAGCCACAGGAGAGGTCTGGGGAAAGAACAGTACCTGTAGTGACTTCACACTTCTGGGTGACAAAAGGAAGCAATGAAGCAAAGTAGTGAGTTATAGGGCAAACAGAGCTCCTAGGGTCAGAACAGAATAAGAACAGCCTCAGAGGAATAAGGAAGGCTCCAGAGATAAGGGTAACAAACTTCACAGAGGACTAATCAAATGCCCCAGGACTAGGGGCAACAGGACATTCCGAAAAAGGATGACAAAGAAATAGGATTCTCAGATAAGGGCTGGAACAGAAGAGACTGAATTCTGGGCACAGAGACTAAATTTAAGGCAGAGTTAGTGAGACCACCGAGAACTAGCCAATCACAAAGCGACTTGTGGAGCTTTAGAATAATTAGAGAGGGCCTCCCCTGTGGCGCAGCAGTTGAGCGCTGGGTTGCGAAGCTGCCCGCAGCCTCTGCAGCAACGGATCAATCCCCGGCTGCTCCCCGGCCACCAGAGGAGGGTCCCGCATGGCGTGCAGACCTCTCCTGCCGCCCATTGCTCCCCTCAGCAGTGTACTTCGGTCCTTCTGCCTGTTCTGCTCCCTGCTCTGGCTCTGGTGAATTCTCTCACCCTCCCGCGCTTCTGACTGTACCCAGTGTTTGCATAAATAAATAAATAAATAAATCCTTAAAAAGAAAAAAAAGAATAATTAGGGAAAAAATGTCTATATTCCCTGGTGCATCACTCCACTGAGTCCCAGTCACTGGCCCACCACAGGTCAACAGATCCCAGGCTGCAGGGTGAGCGCTGAGTCCCAGTCACTAGCCCACCATGGGATGGTGTCTCACAAAGCCACAGCTGAACTTCGTAGATGCTTAGGCAAGCAAAGGAGAAGAGGCAGATTTGTTTAGAGAAAGGAAAAGTTTATTGAGGAGAAAAAGAACAAAATAAATTGGGACTCTCAGCCATGGAACCAGGCCAGGGAGGGGCAAGGAAGCCGAAGTGGAGTTGTGTCTCCGGGAATACAGACCTTCTTTCCCTAGTTATTCTAAAGCCCACCAGTCTTTTTGTGATTGGTTAGTTCTAGATAGTCTCACTCACTGCCCTAATGTCTCTGTGCCCAGAACTAAATCTCTGTGCCCCAGCCCTTATCTTTCTTCTTTATTGTCCTCAATTTGGAATGCTCGGTTGAGTTGACCGTAGTCCTGGGGTGTTTGATTAGTCCCTGTTGGAATTTGTTGTCCTTATCTTTGGAGTCTTCCTTAACTCTCTTGAAGTCCCTGCACTGTCCTTGGGGCTGCCCAATTATCCCTAACTTGCCCTAGGATTCAGTAGAGAAGTGGAAAAGTACCCCAAAGTAGAAAAAAACCCTGAGGGAGCTTTAAGAACAGTAGAGTGCCCAAAGAACCTATAAAAAGGGAACCTATACCCCTCAATAATGGGTTTCTCCCTTAGACCCCCTTCTGCTGTCGGGTGTCTTTCTTAGCAATAAACATGAGGGGTCAGTGATTATTTCTCAATTGCTGGAACACATGAACCCAGCTGATTGGCAACAATCTAAAATCAGGAAGCTGCAACTTCCAGGTCCTTCCACCTCTTTCCTTCCAAGCCGCTCCTCCGCAGCCCCACAGCCAATAAAACTCCTGCTCCCTAAACCTGGGGGACAAGTGTTTTGGAGAACGACCTCGCAGTCTCCATTTTGGACACTGACTAAACTTTTGAGTTTGCCCTCTCACACAGTGCCTGGAGAAACACCCCCACGCACAGGGAAAACGACCTGGACAAAGGGAAGCAAAGCCTCGGTTGCCAGAGGGGCCTCAGCTCGCGAATCCGAAGAGCGGACGCGCTGCGGAGGCCGCCGGCGCCGCGGGCACCAGCCAGTCCGGGGCTACGCAGGCGGGGGCGGGGCGACGCCGCGGCCCGGGAGATTCCGCGCTGCCTTTCCGGCCGCCCCGTCGCGCACGGCGGCTCTCCCTCCGGCGCCCCTCACGCAGCCGCTAGTCGGGACCCCCGGACTCACAGACAGATGCGGGGCACGCAGCAGAAATGGTGAGTGTGCGAGGCCGGGGCCGGCGCAGGGGAGCTGGAGGCAAGGCCGGAGGCGGCCGTGGCGGGGCCGGGCTCCCCGCATCCAGCTCGGCGTCTGCAGACCGGTGGGCCGGCGGCGCCGCTCGGACCTCAGTCTGTCTTGTGGGTCCCTCGGGCCAGCCGCGCGGGCGGGGCGGGGCCGGGGGAGTGGGGGACGGGGGTGGGTGGCGGGGGTGTCCGTCTTTCTTCCATCCCTGGGCGCGCGCGGCGTTGCCTGGCGCGGACGCCGTCTGGGCACCTCGGTGTTCGCAGACCCGCGTTGGGGCCACTGGTCGCCCGCGGGCCGGCGAGCACGCCAGCACCCCTCGAGGGCAGGACGTAGAGGTTTATTTTACAGGCGGGCCCGGAGGAGATGGGTGGGCTGGTGTCCCAATACCCCGTCTCATTTTCAGGGTGGGGTTTGCAGTGAGGAAGTGTTAGGGGGAAAGGATGTCCTAAAGCTAATTCCATACAGGCTTTGTGGACTCCACCCCCACCCCAGGCCAAAGCCAAAGACACTGGGAACTCCAAATCCCATCACCACCAAAGGGAAGGTGGCTGGGACCTGAGGGTGGGGTTAGGCAGCCAGGTGTGGTAAAACCGGACAGTGGGCTTTGGAGAAGAGCCCCCATTTTGGCTCCCTGCCAGCTCTGAGAGTGGGTTTCCAGGTCGGCGGATCGGGTAGGACTCATTAAAGACTTTATTTCCCTATTTTCTCCCTGAGTTGTACATTTCCTTAATTCCCTTCCCCTTGTAAATAAACCTTTTATTAACCTTTTGTGTGTGCCTGCAGTGGAGGATTAAGTCCCTTTTAAGCGCGCGGGTGAGGACCCACAGCCAGGCAACCCCTTTAATATCAGGGTTGCTCCGTAACAGTTGTAGAACTATTCCTGGCGCTGCGCTGTTGTAGGTGAGAGCGTTGTCCTTGTCTCGTTTTGAGCAAAGGATTGCCTAATAGTAAAATATAGTATGCCTCAATATAATGCACATGAACACCGAAGTATTTATTTTATAGCAATCTTTGTTATAAGAAAGTTGAAGATGAAAAGTCACTGCAAACATACCCTGGTCGCCTCCAGCTCTAACCACCTCCAACACAGTGTTGGTGATTTCTTAAGCCTTCTGTTGTTAGTGTTTCTTCATGTAAAACAAGTGATGGTGAATGCATGTATTTCTTTTTCTTTTAACGATTTATTTATTTAGGCATACAAGAACTGGGGCACAGGCCAGAGGTGTGAGGGAGTGAGAGGATTCACCAGAGACAGAGTGGGGAGCAGCACAGGCAGAGCTACTGAAATACACTTCTGAGGGGAGCAGCGGGCGAGACAGGAAAGGTCTGCTGTGCCATGTGGGTAGCTCCCTGGCGTGGGATGGAACTTGTGCTGCGGTGGCTGTGGACAGCTTGATAGTGCTGTCTTCATCTAACCCCTGTGCCACCAGGGAGGCCCTCACGTCTCAATGTGGGTGTCTCCGATGAAGGACTGGACCCAAGGGTCATCACAGGTGACCATACATCACACTGTCATCTTCGCTCCAACCAATAAGGGACCCAGGGTGCAGTTGTTCAGAGACTCTTTGGTGGTTCGCTCAGAGTTGCCCCACTGTGCTTAAAGAACTCCAGGAATCTCTTGCCTCTCACTGTTTCTTACCATGGGGATTAGTTACCCTTGTCTCTACGCATACAAAGGCTACAGTAGAAGTGACAGTCTTGTACATATAGGTGTTGCTAAATGTTTTACATACTTTTTGTTAGGTGATTGGAACATGATTGAATTACACAGACTGGCACAAACCTAGTTGGTGTAGCCCACTCTACACCTAGACTGTGAGTGGGGACCACTGTCATATTAAGGTCTGTTGACCAGAGTGATATGGGCTCAGAGAATGTTGGCGATCCAGACTTTACTGATAGAAATGAAGTCCTTCACCTCGGGTCTCACAGTGTGCAGTTGTGGATTCTTGAACAGGGCATTCAGTGGTAGGTTCTCTATTTTATGCAACACACTCCAACTTTTCCATGAGAGTCCAATGTGTTTGATGTATTTTTTAGTCTTTGGCTAATGTAAAAGCGACTCATCCTCATCATTTCTCTGTTCTTCTAAAACTTGTTGGTGCTCTACCTGTTCTTTCATTCATTTTTCTTCCACCCCTGAATCCCTCCCTCTCAACCAGTGATCTTTACCTGTCCTATACTTATATCTTTTCTAGTATGTCATAAGCTTGAGGCTCACACAGTGTGTGGCCTCATCATATTGCCTTCTTTTGTTCAGCAATGTGATTTTAAGCCTTGTCCACATCTTTTGGTTTTATAATATCAGTTCTTTTATCTGTGAAGAATGTTTCATCCTGTGGATGTACCAGTGATTGTTCATCCATGTGTAAATTTATAAGTATTAATCTATCAATTATTCTTTAGATTTGTTTGTGATGCATAAAGCTCATAAGTGTTCATGTGCTGGGTGAAGAAAACATTTCAACTCATTTGGAATAAAGGAATAAGCATGATTGCTGCATCATATTGTTCAACTTGGCATGGATGAACTGTGTTTTTTTGCAAGTAAGCATACCATTTTCCACTCCTACAGCAATGAAGGAGGATTCTTACTGCTCTTTTTTCACAATTGTTTGGTGTTCTCAGTAGTGTTCATTTTAGTCTTTGTTGTAAGGTTCTCATATTCTCATCTTAAACTTCCAATTTTTGAAAGACATATAATTTTGAGCTTCTGTTCACATGCTTATTTACCATGTAAGTCATTCTTGAAGTTTCTGCACATATAGTTTGTGTATTTTTAAAATGGGTTGTTTATTCTTTTTGGTGAGATTGAGGCATTCTTTGGATAATTGGGTATCTGTCCTCTATCAAGTAAGTCATTTCCAAAGATGTTCTGCTAGTCTGTGACTTTTGTTTTCATTAACTTGACATGAGCAGCAGGAGTTTTTCATTTCAATGAAGTCAAACTTAGTATCATTTCAGGATTATCCAAAAGTTAATGCCCAAACAAAAGGTGACTTTTCTTCCTTGATATGTTTTAGAAATATACTTTTACACTTTCCCCTGAGCTTTCTTGTCTGCTTTTGTTACAGGGCAGGGAGAGGGGCAGCCCAAACCCCGCAAACCTGCCTGTTCTAAATAGGTTCTGCCATCCACCGCATCAACACAAAACATGAAACTTTAATGGGAAGGAACTTTAATACAACTAGGAAACAATACAGGAAAGGCAAAGAATCTAGTTTCTAAATCAAGCACCCAAAGTTACCCGTCCCCTCGTGGGTAAAAGTCCACCCAAACAGGATTGGCCCAGAGCAAGGCCCCAAAGCCTGGCACAAGTCTAAAGCATCTTCCAGTGGGAACCCACAGAAAAGCATCAGAAACAACCAGACAAGTCTGGAGGGAAAAGAGCAAAACCAAAATCAAGACAAAAACCACCATTGTCACCTCCCCACGGGTCTCTCACCCACATCTGTGTGCAGTTTCTTCACATGTCTCTCTGCTCCATGTGCCTCCTCCAGGTCTCCTGGCTCCATCCTGCTTCCTTCCTCAGTCTCCTCTGCAGCTGCTTCTCTTCCTACTCAGCTCCACCCTCCCTTGGGTGGGGCAGGGAACCTCCCCCTTTCCTGGGCACCACGCTGTTATACTTTGAGTTAATTTTTGTGAAAGGTATACAGTGCTGTAGATTTTTTTTTCCCATGGATGTGTCCCATTTTTTCCCATGATTTGCTGAAAGGGCTACATTATCCTTTGACTTGCTTTAGGCCTTTCTGTCAGATGCATTCACCCTTCATGTGTTTATCTACAGGAAAGCAATTGACTCTTATATGTAAAATTTTATCCTTACACCTTTACACCTTCCTCTGTTTTTAGTTCAAGAGGGTCATTTTGAATCAATTTTAACGTGTGTGTGTATGTGTGTGTGTAATTGCATTGGCTAAGAATTCCAGTTACCAGGCTGTTTAGGAGAGGTGAGAGGGCAAGTCCTTGTCTTTTTCTGTGATGTTCCTGAAAGGCTTGTCATTTTTGTTCTTTCTGTGTAATCATTTACATAAAACAAAAGCCCAGTGGTAGTGTGGGCAGATGGGAGGTTTCCTCTAGTGTAGTGATTTGGTTTCAGTCTTTTAGTGAGTCTGTTGTGGGCTTGTCCTTGTGGATATAATATGAATGAAAAGAGGGGAAAGTTTCATCTTTTCCCCCAGTGATGGCAAACTACTTGAAGTCCTTCAGTTTCTTCTGTCTTGTTTTGACATTTGGCGTGGATGAAAAAGGATTATTCAGAGTCCAGATGCAGAGCAATGAGAAGCCTAGAGGGACTCCACCATGAAGGTGCAGCCCAGCTCCAAAGCAGTCTGGTTTTTATTTACAATCAAACAAAAAAACAAATCAAAGAAGCAAGCAGGCAAATAGGGAATGCATAAGTGTGTGTGTGCGATGAGTAACCATCTGGCCCCAGCCAAGCCCGGAAATTCCAGAGAGTCAGGGGAAGCCTCAGTTTTTCGCAATTCTAAGTATAATATCCATTGCTGTTTTCATTGCTGTTTTCAGCACATGCTGTTTTCAGTAGGTATAGATCCTCATACCAGGACTTTTACCCTGAGGGGTTCCTTACCTCAAACTTTCCCTGTTCAAATTCTGGGTGAAAGACACAGAATAGTTGAGGCACAGATTAATCTAAGCTCCCACATCCTTGAGGAATAGTAATTATAGAGAATCTTTTATTTTTTTTAAAAGAACAAATTTATTTTTTAAGATTTATGCATACAAAAACTGGGGTATAAGCCAGAGGTGTGGGGGTGAGAGGGTACACCAGAGACAGAGTGGGGAGCAGAACAGGTAGATCCACTGAAGACACACCGCTGAGGGCAGCAGTGGACGAGACAGGAGAGGTCTGCTGCATCATATGGGTAGCTCCCTGACTGGGGATGGAACTCGTGCTGCATTGGCTGCGGATAGCTTCATAGTACCGAAACTTAACCCCTAGGCCACCAGG